TCAGATGTTGATACCGCAACCGCAGAGTCCAAAGCAGCAGATGCAACGACAATGTCTCCAACAACAAGTACAAGCTCAGATGCAAGCTGGAATTAGGATCAGAGCCAAAGCTAGTTTGTTTTCAAAGAGGAAGCACCCACAACCTCAGATAGTACGCCACCAAGTCCTCAGCAAATCAGCACAGCTAAGCCACCACCAATCCCAGGAGTAACATATGCTACCTATAGTGGTTATGGTCTTCAAGAGCAGTTTTTGCAAAGTGTCCAACTATCCATGGAAGATGTACGACAGGGCACCTCTCAGAGGGTTGTTCCACAGTAAGGCGTCAGCGTCATCACATCAAGAGCTTTGTTAGCGACACCCCAACTCCTCGAGTTGTGTCAGTTCCAATGCAGAGTCGGTTAGTTCAGTTTTTGCAACTCGACACCGAAGTCAAGATAGAAGCAGGACAGTCATGCCAGTAGTTAGAACTTATGGGAAAGTTAGTCAAGAGTCAGTGTGTTCATGAGCTAAATGAGAGTCACTTTTATGTGGAATTTCCTATCATCAACTAAGGGTTAAGTTCCAAATCTTGTCGGGGTGAAAGTGCGTCGCCATTGCTTCAATTTGATGGACCGATGAAGTTTCAGTTTTCAAAGTGAGGGTCTTTGTAAGTCAGAGAAGTGTTGGTTATTTTTTTTTCAAGGACAATAGCCCAATTGTTCCCAGTCAAGCGAAAGTAAGACTACTCCCTGTAAGGGGGGTAGGTCTCGGAGATGAGTTTTGGCTCACCTCATCGCTGTTTTAGTTGAAGGTTCAACCCAGTGCAACAATCCGGGTAGTACTTGAAGAAGCCAGTTGCAAGGTGTCAGCAGAGTTACACCGATCTCAAGTTATCTGATTGAATTCTGAGGTACACCGGTGAGGCCAGGTCAATAGCTCAGCTTTGAGAAGCAGCATCAGGGACGGTTGCAGTTCAAACAAAAGACAGGTCAAGCAGGTTTCTTGGAATTACGTGTTATTCGAGCCAGGACCCGTTCAAGCGGACATAGGATCAATGAGTTACAAATGCCAGATGCAAGTCTTAGGAACAACTTCACCCTTCTCTAGCCAGCTTGGTGAATTGTCGGGTTATCAAACTGCCAGTATCAACAGTTCAGTCCAAGATAAGTAAGTTTCAGGAGTATCCGCAGTTCTGGCCTAGGTCAGTTCAAGCAGAACCAGTCGGTCCAGTTTTGGCAAAGCAAAGGAACAGAAAGGTCTAATCCAGCCAGTGCAATCGTGCAGGTTTGATCAACCAGTCAATCAGTTAGTTCAAGATAGAAAGGGGCACTGCAGTGTGCAGACCCGTCAGATCAGTCAGACCGACAGCCTACACCGGCTTTCTTTCTAGCCATCCCAGAATCTCGGGACGAGATTCCTGTAAGGGGGGTAGATTTGTAACGCCCCGATTTTCGTTCGGGAATAAAAATCAATTAATAATACATTTTCTAGAAATTAAATAAAAGATAAATCAATTTAATCAAGTGAAATAATGGGAGAATTAAAATTTTCCCTTAAAAATCATTGGCCGGGAATATTTTGCAATATTCTTTGTGCCCTAAAATACTCTCCGGAATTTTCCGTGAATTTTCGGAGCTCAAGAAGTAATTTTAATAGCACAAATTTCATTTAATCAATTAAAATAAAAAGAAAACAATTAAAATCCTCCTTCCTCTCTTTGGGCCCCTTTCGGCCCAACCCCTCCTTTCTCTCCCGCGGCCCGCACGCCCCCTCTCTCTCCCTCTCGGGCCGGCCTCCTCCCTCGGCCCGCTCGGCTCTCTCTCTCCCTCAAGTCTGTTTTGCCTCCCCAGCCGGCCTCTCCCTCCCTCTCTCTCCGACAGGTGGGACCCGTGGATCCCACCTGTCAGGGCCATCCCTAACCTCCGGCTCCTTCAGCCGAAACCGCCGCCACGGCCTCCCCACGTCGCCGCCGATTCCGCCTCCTCCTCCACCCGCGCGCTCGCCCTGACCGCGGGACCGCGTCGCCCCACCTCCTCCACTCTCCTCCCCCACTTTCCCCCTCCAAAACCGGCGCCGAACCACCCCACTTCGCCCACGTCGCCGGAGCCCACTCCGAAGACCGTTGCCGGTCGATTCCGCCCTCCGCGGCCATGATCCCACCGCCCCGAGCCAATAAAAACGATCCCCGTGGTCTCCTCTCCCATTCCCCCAACTTTCCCGAGCTCCCGGCGCCCTCGCCCGCTCTCCCCTCGCCAAGCCGAGCAGCCGCCGCTCGCCGGAGTTCACCGGCCGCTTTTTCCCGCCGCCCCAGCCACCACCGCGCCGCGCCGTGTGTGCCGTCGGCTTCGCCTCGCCGTGCCGCGCCCCGGCCTCCACTCCTTTTCCCCCAAACCACCACCGAAATACCACCCCACCGCGAAAACCGAGCCGCCGCTCTTCCCTCCGTCTCCAGCCGCTCCCCGCCGGCGATACCGACCTCGCCCGGTCATGCGGCTGCCTCCCACAGCGCCGCCGCTCCGTGCCGCATCCCGGCCACCGGCCCACTCCTCAAATCCACCCCCGAAGCACCGATTCCACCGTGAACCCGAGCTCCACCGCCACTTTGCCGACTCCGGCAGCGCGCCACCGCCGCCCTAGCCACCACCAAGCCACGCCACCGCCTCTACTGCGTTCGCCGCGCTCCCCCGTACCCCGGCCGCTCCTCCACCGTCGTTGGAGACCGCCGAATCGCCGCCGTCGTCTTCGCCCCGTGGAGCGCCGCCGCTCCCTCCATCGCCGCGCCTCTCGGTGAGCCGCCTCCCTCCGCCGCCGCTCCCTCCGTCGCCGGCGCCCCTCGGTGAGGACCCCCTCCATTTCCTCTCCCTTTCCCCTCTTTTCGTCGCCTCCCGCGCATGCCGTCGCGCCGGTGGTCGTCGCCGGCGACCATCGGGCCGTGCGCCGTCGCTCCCGGCCGGCCGACCGGTGAGCCGGCTCCCGCTCGCCCGTGGCCGCCCGATCCCCCTTCGGGGCGATCTGGGCCGTCCACGTGGCCTTCCCGTGCCGCCCGAGTCGGTGCCTCTGTGGCGCCACGTCGGCGCCACCTCCGCTAGCCGTCCGTCGTGGCCGCCAGGTGTCTGCCACGTGGTGCGCCCGCGGACCAGCGCGTGCGTGGACTCGGTCCACGGTGCGCCCGCCACCCGTGAGTCACCGACAGGTGGGGCCCGCTTGCCGGCGCCACCTCTCCCCCGTCGGATGACGTCATAATTGATTTAAATTGCGCAATAAATCGGTAATAATTCTAGAAATCCATTAAAATGGCTCAAAACTTCTAAAATTCATATCTAATTCATTCGAACTCCGAATTGAGCCATTCAACTTGCAAAATTCATCTAAAATTGAGCTCTACATGTTTGTTTAGTTTTTATGTACTGTTTCCTTGGTTTTTATTAGAGTTTTTCCTCGTTTTGCGTGCCAGCGTGTAGTTTCCGTCGTTTCGGAAGTCCGCAGTCGCAAGGAAAAGAGTTCGGAAGATCCAAGTGAAGAAGCAAGGCAAGTCTCACATTCCCCTTGAGCATGTTGATCCTAATTTATAAATGTTTTACCGTTTACAAATAAATATGCATGTTTTGCTAATTACACGGGGTCAGGGTTTACCTATCTGCTCGCTTGTGCCATGTTTACTTGATATCTATCCTTTGTCAACCTTGGGTGATAAATTGACTAGCTCGTGTTACTTATGTGACCTAGCTAGAACTATATGCTTAGCCATGCTTAATTACCACTAGCTCAGTCGATGGGATAATTGCAGTATTAGACATTCTAGTATCTTGTTGAGCCGCGTGCTCGAGACATCTGGCCATGTTTTATGGTCGTAATTATCCAACTAAAATGCGACTGAATGGTGGGCTGTGGGTGCATGGTTTTGCGAGTCGCACCCATAGCAATTAAGGACCGGTTCACGGGAAACCCTGGAAGACTTACAGTGCTTACCACAAGCGGGAATGGGTAACTGCTTGATCTGAAGTATAGCTCGACCCTTTCCTAGGCACCGGTGGCGAGGGTGGGCGTGATGGAGTTGGGTCGGCCGGGGTGTCCGGTTGTCCAGCTGCCGGATTCACCGCGGCGCAAGAGGGGACCGCCCACTGCCTTTTGAGGGGTGGGGGTGAAACCTTAGCGTGGTGTGGATGGTTAGGGGAGGGTTATGCGAAGGGTCTCGTCACAATCACTCGACATGGTGACGTGTGCATCATGGGCACATGATGACGCGGTGACATGTCGGTGGGTTGTGTCTTGTGGGTACAGTTGTGCACCTCTGGCCAGAGTAAAACTATTCGAATAGCCGTGCCCGCGGTTATGGGCGATCGACCAGATTCTCCGTGATTAGTCTCACCCCTAATAAATCGACCCAATGCACTGTAGTACAGGTGGGTTGGTTGGGCCTGTTCAACGTGGTGTAGCGTTGATCAGTGGAGATTTTAATGTTACTTTAATTACTCAACAGTTTTACTGTTTTGCTCAATAAAATGTTTTACAACCGCCTTTATGCAAATAGCCACAAACCGTCCTTGTATCCCCTTGCACGTCTGCATCGTTGGTGTGGCTTGCTGAGTACGGTGGTTGTACTCAGCCTTGCTATTATTCCCCCTTTTCAGAAGTGTAGTGCTTCTGAGCTGAAGATAGAGTTAGAGGACCAAGGCTCAGACCCCAGTTGAGTTTTGCCTGTGGAGTGGAGCTGAAGCCCCGCTAGGATCGCCTTTTTCCGCTGCTGCTGCTTTTGTTTCGGTGTGAGGACTAAGTGCCTCTTCTGTAAGTATTTTACGCTTTATTTACGTTTGGAACTGTTTATTACTTGTCGTTTTGTGTACCCTGGCTGGTCCTGGACAGGGATTTAATACACAAAATAGTCTGGAAATTTGGGCTAAATTTCTGGGCGTGACAGTACTTCAGCTAGGAGAGTAGCTAGCCTAGCCTTTTTGTAGTAGTACTACTTCAACAAAATATCATATATGCTTCAACAGTCACAGCGTGAAATGCTTGGAGAATGAGGATTTCTTTACTACGCTAGATAAACACGCTCGAGACTTATTTTACAACAAATGCAAAGTAAACACATAAATATTACACATCCGATAATTAGGTGGACTTAGCTAATAAGAGCCCAGTTCAACACAGAAATAATACACGTAGTTAGTGCCAATTGCTCAGCACAACGAGCGGAGTGCACGCTTGTTGAATGGGATGTCTCTAATAGTTCCAAAGAAGCTCGCGATGATGGCATATACCTTGCCAAGCGAAACGTTGTTGTCTCGCAAGTGTCAGATCAAACCTTTTGTATGAATATCTATTTGGCTGTGAGATGGCCAATTAATCTTCTCACCACATGAGTCCGATAGCGCGTGGTTGTGCTCCGCCCTGTGCTCGGCAACATACCAGCCATCGTCGTCCGTCCTCTTCAAGTAAAGCAATGCATTGCATCCACACCTGCTTGACGACGAGTTCGCTCTCTCCGGCTTGCCCTGAAAAAAATAGACCAACGTATGTCAGGCTGAATAAGTTAGTATTCGAGCCCCAAAAAATAGCCGGTGATCTGAAGAGTAAGCGGGCGTTTATTACACTGCAAGCGGGCGAAGAAAAATGTTTAAAGTCTAGAAATACAATTGGGTATGCTTTAAGCATGCACGTATCGCTCTGCCGCATACAAGTTGTTGCCAGTTCCTGAATTGTTTCGTGTTGGTATAGCTCTTTCCACGTCGAATTCCAAACCCACACTCGAACGAGTACAGATTGTAGAAGTCGTATGCCTCGCTAAGTAAGTCGAACTCAATCCCCTGGCGTTGGTCAAACACGTACCCACGATGGGCGATTGCGTACTCCCTCATTGATTGCTCCATGGCTGTCACCCTGCCTGGGGTGTACAATAGAGCGAGCGTACCCGCGCGCCCGTAGGGCGTCCTGCGTTGTAAGCAGCGATCAGTTAGCATCCATCGAAAAATGGATGATGCTAGGGAAACTATAGTGGAAAATGTAGTGTATTTTTTGCTCTGGATGTTAAACATTGCGACAAAACACGTTCTGGAAGCATGATTGCTAGTTTTTGTATACAAGCGAAACTAGGAAGAAGCCAACCCACCACACCCCCCCCCCCAAAGATAGTGTGCATGCAAACAAATCAAAGGAATTTGTCGTTGCTCATCCGGTAAACAAATACTACTGTTGCAAGAGCAAGCAGGGCATACCTACGCGGCGTACATTGTTGTGGATCATCCACGCCGTCCGACGCAAACTCGCCAGTGTGCATCTCCATGCTGTAATCGACACCGGCGCGCATGGCACGGGTAGCCGTAGGGGAGGGAGAACAGCCTTCTGCTATGTCCTTCCTTGCCCGTTTGCCGAGCACCCTGCAAGAAATTCACAAAGGAGAAGAGTTCGTTTTGAAAGCTCGGAGTGAGTGATCGAATCATGCACCTCGGAGGTTCGGCACCGCAAGCGAGCTCGCTAGCTGCCCGCCGCGGCGGAGGCGGATTGCACGGCGTCGGCGTGGGGCTCGCTGCTTGTCGAGTACTACTAGATCGATCGCACGAGGCCATGGCTTCACCAACCGGGACATTAGACATGCATGGCATCGTCCCCTCAGTCACCCTGCGAAATTGAAAGCCTGCACTCAGCATGACACGGGGCGACACATGACGTCTGCAGCTACGCGCATGCGTCCGACACCGCTTGTTCATAATAGATGAGACCTTGTCAGGAAACCCCGTGAATTTAGACAAAGCGTGTGGTTTTGTATTATACGTTGATTAGAACCATGTTTTTATCGCACGCAATGGTAGAATGTAACTAGACTTATCCATTAGAACATCATAGTACTATTAGGACGAACGAATATAGAAGTATTGACTGTAATCAGATACAAGCAGGGGTGCTGCATGGTATGTAAGTTTCTTCATATATGGGCGAAGATCTGGTGAAATTGTTTTTTATTTCTTTTATTAAACAGGGCCATGCATTGGGAAGGGTCCAGATCACCATGTGCATTTCTGAATTTGATGGGTGGACCCAACGTTGTTCATGTGTCCACTGTTAGAACGATATGCACGCGCAAAAACACTTATTGATATTATAATAGCACATAATAATATCCCGAAACAGCAAACATACAAGCGATCAATGCGCAGGTCATACTGCATTTTTTGTTAGATGAAATAAAGACTGCAATACATAGTTTCCCGACCAGAAAGACCATGCTAGGCACAGTTTTTAGCCTCAAGCAAACTGCCCCTCCGTGGAAGACATTTCCGTGGCTACATCGTTAACAAACGAGTGCTGAAGGGAGAAGATGGGATGATTACTGTCGCGGAATGCTACTAAGTGGTATCGACTGCAATACCTGTCACTACGCGCCGGAGCCGGCGGTGGCTCATCAGCAATAGCTATCGCCACGATTTTTGCTCCCGGTGGTGTGGACGGTATAACACCTCTCGGCGTCGATGCGGCGTGCTCTATCTCGGGGTTGTCCATATCGCGATGGCACACGCCCGAAAAGAGATCCAATTGGGGTATCCGACCAATGAGGACGGGGGAGGGGGGGTCGTGAGACGGTGGGGGTCGAGGACTCTGAAGGTAGCGTTTCCATCTTATATAGGATGCCCCCCCCAATCACCCCATGCCTCCATACCCCGCACACTATAGAGATTCCGTTCGCCCCCCATCAAACTGCGTGTGTGCAGATTTTTCCCATTTTCACACCCTGTAGATGTTTGTTGAGCATAGATGATGGATGTCACATCTCTAGCCCACTCCGTGGACTGTTGCCATATTTATTGAAATCCCATGGGGTAGCAATTCTGGTTATGGTCAAGACGGTAAATCGCGCCACCCTGTTTTCAAAACTTTCCGACACACAAATATGCTTCAACTTTCCATCCGGCACAAACATTTGAAAACAAAGCTTAGGACCCTGTTTTTATGGGACTAAAACATTGGATGTTTGGACACTAATTATAAATATTAAACGTAGACCATTAATAAAACCATCCATAATCTTGAACTAATTCGCGAAACGAATATATTGAGTGTAATTTAATCCATGAATAGCTTATGTGATGCTACAGTAAATATTCTCTAATCATGGATTAATTAGATTTAAAAAGCTTGTCTCGCGAATTAGCTTCCATCTATATAATCAGTTTTGTAAGTACTCTATATTTAATAATCTAAATTAGTGTCTAAATATAGGGTCTAAACATAAGTTCCTGGATCCAAACATCACCTATGCTATTCCGTAGACCTGACGGGTCCAAGGGTGTGATGTGATCCACCTATATCTATATTTATGACTGACGGATGCGGCCCATAGAGTCCAAATGACCTTTGTGTTTCTTCGCGTCCGCGATCCTCCAGTGGACATCACGGAGGCAACATCAGCAAGACTGTGTTGTGTTTGTAGCTAATTTTCCGTAAGCAAGGTCTTGTCGCTGTGGTCTATACATACTATTATGGAGTAGTAGTTATGGGGTGGGGGGGGTGGTGTGTACGGTGGCAGCAAGGGGGTCAGTGAACTATCATGTCAGACATTTACTAAGACCGCCACATTGTGTTTTTACTGGAGACATTTTTTATAAAAATACTGTGCTTGTCTACCAATGGCCATTGATTTCTTCCCTTCGCCCAATAAATACAACATGCTACGGATGTAACATTCACTAGTGCAATGAACTTGGGGTTGTTACAATTTGTTATATTATCAGAGAGTGAGCCCTTACAGAATGCCCTTTTTTTTTCGAGCCGGGTGTGTTAGTTCCGTTGGGTAAAAAAAAAAGATTTTATCGAACACGGGGCTTGCTCATTCTCTTCCCAAAAGAACTAATCTACGAGGAGTTTTGGGAATTCATACGCTGATACTTGTGGATAATAACTTTTTAATTAAAAGTTCTTAATATGTAAACATGGTAGACAATATATCTCGGCGATAAACTATGGAGGCGTAAACTCGCGTGTTAATAAACGGGTTCATACGATTTAGAAATTGTATGATAAAGAGCAAGGAACTGGAGCATTGCCCTAGTGTTCTCGCTGGGCTTAGAAACGGCAACATAGGCCGATTTGAGTGGGCCACGATACTTTTTTCATTGGTAAAAAATTTGTGTATGAAGTGATCATCAAAAAAAAATCTCGGAACGGGCCGCCCATGTTCTGCCAGTAGGCCACCCCATGTTCTCATCTCCCCACGCACATTTCATTCGTCGTTGCTTTATGCTGAGCGAGGGGCAAAACAGGTAATGGATCTTGTACCTACCAATCACTCACACATCTGCTCTATATAGGTCAAGATGCAGGTTGGTACACTTTGATGGGCATTAGTACCTTCCAAACAAGCTTTGCTGCGCTCATCTCTTTGAACATGTGTCGGACGTAGCATTGGGGTTCATATGAACCTCGATTCATATTATCCTACTCCTATACACATACAAACATACATACATACATGCATTGCATGCATGCATGCACACACACACGGACGGACGGACATACAGACACACACACATACATACATACATACACACACTTATTCAGATGTATTGTTTAACCACTATTATATGTTTAGTACCTATACTACCAAATTAAAGTTTAGAGCTATGGTCCTCGGTCTGAACAGAGGGTGCCATATTTCACTCTAACATACATACATACACACACACTTATTCATATGTATTGTTTAACCACTATTATATGTTTAGTACCTATACTACCAAATTAAAGTTTAGAGCTATGGTCTGAACAGAGGGTGCCATATTTCACTCTACTAGGTTGAGGTATATTACTTGCTGGTTCTATGGAAATTTGGTTCACTCCATTTGGACTAAAGATGAATTTTCTACAAATTTTACGAATTAAAGGTTTCTCTATGTTGGTTATTACTTACATAAATTTAGAGGCTTCTATCACACAGTAAGTATATAATTTTATTTTATAACTCGGAAGTATATGTTTTGGTAACTTGGGTTTACTAAAAAGGATTTAAGATGAATTTTATATAAACTTCTAAAGTTCAGCTTATGTAAAACTAGTTATTTTAAAAGTTATTTTAAAGATAATAGTTTTAGAGGCATTAGGTATAAAGTAAGTATATTATTTTATTTCTCTTTACAGTAGAGAATAAGTTGGTGATTATGTGGAATGTGAGTTTATTCTAAAATGTGTTGAGATGAATTTGGTATGCATTTCATAAGCTTGTGGCCTTGTGCAAGCTTTATATGTGATTTATCCTAGATAATTTTAGAGGCAAAATTTGTACTGTGAGTGCCAAGTTTTATGTTCCCATATTAAAAGTTTTATGTTCCCATATTAAAGTTCATAACTTTGTAAATCTATAGCAACTAGAATCATCTCAAAATGAGCTATATTTGATTTTATAAGTGTTTCACAAGTTTGGGTGTTTTCCTATTCAAAATTTAATGTTTTAGCTATTTTCCTTTGCATTTTCAGATTTTTATACACATTTGGTCCATCTGTCAGTCTCAGGCCAATATGCATAAAAGGCCTCTAGGGTTCAAGAGAATCAACCCGCAGTCCTAGTCCCATATGTCATTTGAGTGGAAAGGTTACACATTGAATCTTATAGTTGTTTAAATTCTTAAAAGGAGGTCCCTGGAACCTGGACAGAACAGGGGCAGCAATAGCCAATGCCCCTGTTCAGCTTTGCCGGCGGCGAAAGATGGGGAATCTGTTTGTACGATAATTTGGCTTATAGTTAGTGCATTTAGGCAGGCCAAATTATGGAGAATAGTTGGTGTGATTGGTTAGTGGTTAAATTATAAGATTAGCACATTTTATATGTGCAGAAATATTTGGTGCAATGGAAGATTAAATCTGTGAGTTACTTGGTGACTGTGGTATTTAACCCAGTTGGAGATTATATACATGGAGCTGTTGCTTGATGGTTGGTTTGAGCTGTTAACTGGAAGGAATGCAAGGTGTTAGCTTGCTGCTCGATGGTGTGGAAGCTGTACTGCAGGAGACCTCTGAGCCATGTTCAGGACGGTGATTAGACAGAGGCAGGTGGATGGATGGATGTGGTGATCAGGCCGGCTGCTGATGCTGGTGTTGGAAATATGGTCATAAATCGGCATATTTTAATCCAAAATGTTAAGACAATAATCATGGCATAAACAGTGTAGGGTGATCTAGTGGAAACATATAACATAACCAGTAGCATACTATCATGCGCATCATGAATGGGAACATAGCTATGAATATCAGGAACAGGAACATAGCAGTAACGCAATAGTATGCTAAAGGTATCATGAACATCAGGAACAGGAACAAAACAGTAGAGCGCTAACAGCAGGAACAGAAGAAGGACAGGGATATACCCCGAGAATGGCCCTCCGCTGGATTGTGAGGCAGAATTGCCTCCGTTGGTGTTGTTGTTCGCCGCACCACCTCCGGATCCTGGCGCGCCACCTCCGGCTCCAGGTGCGCCATCTCCTCCAGTAGCAGCGGCGCCGGCTCCAGGCGCAGACATAGTGAGGACGAGCAGTCGTGCGGGAAGCACTCCCCAAAAACCTGATCACCCGCCTACCCGGTGCAGATCTCAGGCGAAGGTGTGGTTTCGGAGGCCCTGCTCCTTCCAATCTCTCGTGCGCGCAAGGGATCAGAAGCGAGGAAGCGAGAGCAGCACAGGCGCGGAGGAGGAGGAACTAACACCGGGAAAGAAGCAAGCGATCAGAACGGATCGGACTCGCGGCCTCCTTATCTATCAGGAGAGAGGCAGTCGTGGGAACGTGGACGCGCTGTTGCGGGGCAGTCGTGGCAACGTGGGTTAGTGGCTGCAAAAGAGTAGCGACGTGACGTGACGCACGCCGCCAGCCTTGCCTCGCCCACGCCCACGCCCTCGGCCCGGCCCGGCCCGGCTTGCGCGCGCGTGTGGCTTTCCGACCCCTACCTCAATCAGTCAACAGGAAGCCTCCAATAACTCCCTATTTAGGTTGAGATATTCCTCGCTTAAATCCTGAGGTGGTATTATTATCCTTAACACTTATTATGGGCCTTTGAGATTTAATAGGATAAGTTGGGCCTAGCCCAATTATTCTAACAATCCCCACCAAATTTCAAGGCTCATAAGAAATGTTCTCAATGTTGTGCCTGTTTGATATACCAGGGTTTTGGTGGAGACTGTTAAGTTGAACTTCCACCTAGGAAATGAGCTACATCAGACCACAACTGAGCAATAGACTGTGTCTTGAATTGTCAGTTTTGTGTGATCAGGTTTCACTCAGAACCTTGACTGGTACTGGGCTGCCGTTCGCATCCCCTCTGTTTGGAGCATATAAGTCAAACTCCAGGCATTTCATGAGTATCTAGAGATCGCCCAAACCTCATAGACTATGACTAGCAGTCGAACTCATATAGGTGTGTTCCTTCTGAGATGTTCTGCAGGTCAACATCTCTGCTTGGAAAAGCCACTCGGATCACATTAAGGCATGAGCCATCCTACCATGCAGGAAAGAAGAGAAGTACATCATGAAAATGAGCCCTTTTCAAGGGTCTCTTCTCTCAGTCACACAATAGTTTGTTTCGCCATCCAAATTCACGGGATCTCCGATCACAATGGACAGGTTTC